TTTTTTGAGACAGAGTTTTGCTCTTGTTGTCAGGCTGGAGTGCGGTGGCGGGATCTCGGCTTACCACAACCTCCGCCTCCCAGGTTCAAGCAATTCTCCTGCCTCAGCCTCCCAAGTAGCTGGGATTACAGGTGCCTGCCACCACGCACGGCTAATTTTTTTGTATTTTTAGTAGAGACGGGATTTCTCCATGTTGGTCAGGCCAGTCTCAAACTCCCAACCTTAGGTGATCCGCCCGCCTTGGCCTCCCAAAGTGCTGGGATTACAAGCGTGACCACTGTGCCCAGCACTTTCACTCATTTTTTAACTGGGCTATTTGTCTTTTTATTACTGAGTTGTAGGAGTTTTTAAAATAGGTTCTAGATGCAAGTGCTTTATGAGACCTGTGATTTGCAAGTATTTTCTCTCATTTTTTGGATTGTCTTTCACTTTCCACTTTCACAGTTCATTATTTCGTAATGGTATCCTTTGAAGCATAAAAGTTTTTAATTTTTTATGAAATCCAGTTTATTTTTCTTTTGTCCCTTGTCCTTTTAGTGACATGCTAAGAAACTGCCTCATCCAAGGTTGTGAAGATTTATTCCTGGTTTTCTTCTATGAATGTTATGATTGTCACTCTTACGTTAAGTCTTTGCCCTGCTTTGAGTTCATTTTCGAATAGGAGGTAGAGAGAAGGCTGTCTTCATTCTTCTGCCTGGACTGTCCATTGCCTGCGCTCCTCCTCACTGCCATAGAGAAACGATTCCTACTTCCCTTGTGTTGCCCAGGCACCAAGCTGTAGAACATTTTTGTGTTTGTTGTTTCTTTTATTATGTGTCTGTTAAGAAGACCTTCTCATCCTCATGTCTTAAAACTATTTTAATTTTTTTCTCCATTTTAATCTGTTTTTATTCACTTTAGTCCATCTGAAGGTTTTGTTTTGTTTTGTTTTGAAATAAAAGGGAAGATAAGGATCAAAGATGCCTCACCACTCTTGTTTATAAATCACCACCTTCATGATACAATAGTCTCTTCTTATCTGGGGTTTCACTTACCAGCAGTCCAAAAATAAGTGGGTACAGTACAATAAGGTGGGAGGGGGGAGAGAGAGAGACCACATTCATGTAGCTTTTATTACAATGTGTTGTTATAATCGTTCCATTTCATTATTAGTTACTATTAATCTTTTACTGCACCTTATTTATAAATTAAACTTTATAATAGGTGTGTGTGTATAGAAAATAATGTAGTATTATAGGATTCAGTACTATCTGTAGCTTCAGGCATCCACTAGGGTTCTTGGAACCTGTCCCCTTAGGATAAGGGGGGACTTCTGTCCCCTAATTTCATGTGTACCTATATCTATTTCTGGACTTACGCAAAGAAATTAGCTTTATATAGTATGTTTCAGTATTTGGCAATATATATTGCTCCTTTATTTTTACTGTTTTTCAAAATTTTCTTGACTCTTAGAAAAGCAAAATTGCAGGCGAGCGCTCATGGGAGGCCGAGGTAGGTAGATTACCTGAGGTAAGGAGTTCAAGGCCACCCTGGCCAACGTGGTGAAACCATGTCTCTACTAAAAACACAAAAATTGTCCAGGTGTGGTGGCGACTGTAATTCCAGCTACTCAGGAGGCTGAGGCAGGAGAATTGCTTGAACCCGGGAGGCAGAGGTTACAGTGAGCCAAGATCGTGCCATTGCTCTCCAACCTGGGTGGCAGAGTGAGGCTCTGTCTCAAAAAAAAGGGAAGACAAAATCACGCAAAATGTAGATTGCCTTTGGGGCAGCTTCCACCATGATGGCTTTGTTCTGTGCTTGAAAAGGAGGTTCTGAAGTACTCTCCCTCCATCCTCAGTGCTTGCCTGCCCGTGGGAACTGGGCAGGGAAGTTGGGAAAGTCTGAAGGATGCTTCTGACAGATTTGGGGACCACCTACAGTTTACATCTAACTCTCACGGCTCATTGAACACCATCCTGGGAGAGGAGGAAATTAAGTGCGCCCCTGTATTCGTAAGTACTCTGCAAAACTAAGCTAATCTCAGACAAATATACAGAATTCCATGAGGAGAGCCAGGCACAGGGATGTAAAACATTTTCTATTCCACCGTTGACTCAGCTTCACCCTCAGAATGGCTTTTGAGATGCATGTAAACAGTTATGTAGAGCACGTTAAACTGTACATTTGTCCTCCATCCAGAAGTAGACAAATAACAAGTTTTAAATTTGTCATATAGTTTTCAACCATACTGTCGTGACATATGGTCAGGTGTAAGTGCAAAAGATAATATTAAAGATACATGCAAGGCTGGGTGTGGTAGCTCACGCCTACAATCCCAGCACTTTGTGAGGCTGAGGCAGGCTGGTCATTTGAGGTTAGGAGTTTGAGACCAGCTTGGCCAACATGTTGAAACCCCATCTCTACTAAAAATACAAAAATTAGCCAGGTGTGTTGGTGGGTGCCTGTAATTCCAGCTACTTGGGAGGCTGAGGCAGGAGAATCACTTGAACCCTTAAGGCAGAGGTTACAGTGAGCTGAGATGGCGCCACTGCACTCCAGCCTGGGTGACAGAGTGAGACTCCTGTTTCAAAAAATAAATAAATAAATACAAGTCAGCTGAGTGCCACCCACACATCTGTGATCCCAGGTACGTGGGAGGCTGAGGTGGGAAGATCGCTTGAGCCCCGGAGGCCAGCCTGGGCAACATAGCAAGACCTTGTCCCTGAAATGAAAAGAAGAATCTTTTTAAATCCCAAGTCAAAAGCAATGTGTTAATTTTTGGTGAATTGAGAACAATCTGCTTATAACTTACTTGTAGAGCTAACATTTTTGCCTACTTTTTATATAATTTTTTTGATATGTCACATTTCTGTACTTTAAGAAACAGTGAGAGGACAACTGTGTGGTCTCTTCAAGGTAGTGTCAGGAGTGAAAAAAGGGAGAACACAATAGATTAAGAACGTTAAAAACAACCAGATAGAGGATGTCAGCCTTCATTGGGTCCTGATTTGTGCAAACCAGCTATAAAAGAAATGTTTTCGGCAGCCAGGGAATTTGGAATATGACTCGGTATTAGCTGATACCCAAGAAGGATTGTTCTTTTTCTTAGGTGTAATGGTGATATCCTTTCCTTTCCACTTTTCTGTATGTTTGAAATTTTCATAAACATAAAAGAAAGAGACCTAAATGAGACTCATTTTATGTTTCTCCGGTTTCTTCCACATCTCCATTCCTGTTGATTGCTGGATGGACCTTCCAATTCACAGGGACAAGCCAGTCGAACAGTGGACTTAACACCAGTATTCCATGCTTGTGGGGACAGCTCAAGGGCTATTTGCTTACTGAAGCTTTAGTTAAAATTGTAAAAAATAAAGGAAGAAGCCAGGGATTCTATTTTATGTCCCATAACGGGACACTAGTTAAATGATTATAAAGGTAGAGAGTAACATGCCGTACCTTTATTACAAATCATCCCAGCCCACTGTGTCAGACAGTTTAATGGTATGGGGCAGAACCTGGAAAAAAAAAAACACTAAGCAAAATGTGTGCATTGCAGGAGAGATAAGAGGTTCTATTGATTATGGTTCATACATATGTATCTATATAGAAAAAAGAAGGGGGAAAAAACCTATCAACACTTTAATAGTGGACTCCTGGATAATGGGATTTTAATTGTTGTTAATTATTTCTGTAGTAGTTCTCTTGCTTTCCAAATTTCCTGCAGTGTGCATATATACTTTTATAGTCAGGAAAAAATAAACATAAGGGAAGGAGGCTATTTTCTTTAGAAGTTGAGCCATGCATTCATGATGCTCTCCTTCTTGGCCAGGATGCTCATTTTGCTTTGGGTCCTTCTCAGACTTCAGAGAGTTTTGCTCCCTAGCAAAGCCATGCAGCTTTTCTACACACGTATTTTCTAGTTCTCATAAAAGTAAAACTAAAACAGAAAACTCTGTAACCTTTTAAAAGTGAGTTTTGATTCATTAAAAACAATTTTTACAGTTTTCTCTCCTCATCATGAATACATGGTTTTGATTCTTACATTTTTAACAAATCAGAGTGATGTACTTTAGGGGAGGTAATGAGGGTTGTGGAAGCAAGCTGGAAATAGAGTGCTAGAAGACTGGAAATCCTGGAACCGTGGAGGATACTGTTGCACATTAGGAACACTTCTCTTATTTGCCTAAGTCTTTTTCAGTACGTTTATCTGAAGATTGCTGGTAGTTTGTAAAGAATAAGATTCTGTGGGTCCCTTTTTCCATTTTCCTTGCAGTTAAAAGGTTTCTTTGGTCTGGCTTGTTATTTCAGGCAACTGAAAGCAAACTCCCCGTATTTTTAGCAGATCACCAAATATTTAAAATTTGTCAGCTGTCTGAGTGGAAATTTTAATGAAAAACAAAGCATTTCATAAGACAGTGCATTTACCATTGAACTGGGTGGTTGTAATAAGGCTAAGTGTCATTAGTCTTTTAGGAGAGGTAATGTTTGCTGTGAAATCAAGCTGCAGGCGTTGTCCTTCTGGTCACGTGGTAATGAAATCCAAAAGGTGGCTCTGATTCTTTTTGCTACATCAAATGTTTGCAGCATATTGCAATTGGTCAGGCCTTGGCAATCTTTTTAATTAGGTTGAACCCCATGAAAATGCCAGTGTTTGGCCTTTCGGAACCTACAGAAGCGGCAATCTCCTATGGTCCATCTGATAAAATACACAGCTTTTCCCGTGGTTGTGTGCATTGTAGAGTGAGTTGGGTTTTGGCTGCCACAGTGAAGAGTCAGCCATTGTCTTGCTTAGATGATAATTGTATACAAGTGAACTTGAATCAGCCTTGCTGCTGAGTTGGGTTTCTGTCTATGCTTCTGGATCTTCTTAAAGTCATCAGTGGATTAAAGAGAACTACACTAGCCATCTCCCTGTGGTTAGTATTATCCATCAGCTTTTGCTTTTGTTTGAGAAATAATTAATCAATATGAGTTGGAACTCTGAGAGGTTAAAGTGTTTTTGTTATTATGCTTTATTTTAGTCCCAGATGCAAACAACAGTGGGAATTGTACCCACACAAGCAATTGCAACGGGCCCCACTGCAGATCCTGAAAAACGCAAACTGATACAGCAGCAGCTGGTTCTACTGCTTCATGCTCATAAGTGTCAGAGACGAGAGCAAGCAAACGGAGAGGTTCGGGCCTGCTCGCTTCCACACTGTCGAACCATGAAAAACGTTTTGAATCACATGACGCACTGTCAGGCTGGGAAAGCCTGCCAAGGTAAGTGCTGTTTTTGGAACTCCTAGTGGCAGAGGTCAGGAAGAATTTTCCTTTATTGTACAGCAGCTCTCTGGTTGATAAGTCTTCGACAGCCTGAGGGCTGCCTTCCATTTGGTGTGGTAAGACATGCTGGGCTCACGATCCCCACACGACAACAGTCAGGTGCCCCAGGAAGTCTTATCTGCTGAGGAGAAAGGCGATTTGGTTTTCTGCTACTCTGTGAACTTCTGCGTGAAGCTGTGCCCTGTATTTGTTCTTTTCCTCTTTCCCCTCTCACGGAAGACATTGGTCACTTCTTGAGCACTGTCTTTGTTGTGAATGTCTAGATTGTGGTTTTCTTTTGGGCAGCAAGCATAGCGCACACACGTGCAGGCACACGCCCTTCCTGCACCCCAGCATCTGTCTTGGCAGCTTGCTGTCTTGCTCCTCTGTCCTGTGTCTTGAGGCAAGTCCAGATGACAGTGAAGCTGTCCTTGGTGACGGGCAGTGACATGGGGAACTGTGCACTGTATCATCCCGGAGGAGGTGGTGAACTAGGCACCTCATGTGCCCTCTCTCTCCTCTTTTACTTCAGATACCTCATTTGTACTAAAGGAAGTGTTTCCTATTAACAGCTGTACTTTCCTTTAATCTTTATTCTCTTTCCTTCTCTTTTTATGCTCATAAACTTTGTGGGGGAATCTCCCCCTGGTCTCCTTGTCTCCTACTGTAACATTTGTGAGTTCCCGGAGTAACCCTGTTGTAGCAGAGACGCAGAGGGAAGGGTAAGGTTAGACCTTGAGAAGATGAAGACGGAATAACCAGGGCCAGTTACCCTCTTGAGTACTTCTTCACCAAGTGCCCAGAGTCCCTTTTGCCCTTTTGGAATCTGTACAGACTTCTCATTTGCTTCTCTCTCTGTATTTCTTTGCTGTAGTATTTAGGTGGTTTCATCTTGAAACATAATTGAACATTTTTATTTTAAATAGTGATATCACAGAACTATTATTTGTTCTACCTTTCATTGCAGTTGTTCAGTATTCCAGGTTGAATAGTTTTTGTTTTGTTTTGTGGGCTGCCCTTAATCACCCATCCTTCATAACATTGCTTCTAGGGGAAGTTTTGTTTGGATTTCTCAATAGTCAACTTACAAACGTTTTGGAAAACAGCCTGTTTGTAAGTTGAGGACTGCCTGTACAGTGTTATGGTTACACTTGTTACCATTTTCTTATGGAATCTGGCATTATAATTTAGGTATAATTGAAAGTGTGACGATTTGGATAGAAAAATAACATCTCGTTGTTTTTCTGGTCATAGTTGCCCATTGTGCATCTTCACGACAAATCATCTCTCATTGGAAGAACTGCACACGACATGACTGTCCTGTTTGCCTCCCTTTGAAAAATGCCAGTGACAAGCGAAACCAACAAAGTAAGTGAGCACGGGGGCAGAGAAGATTGGAGATGAGAATAGAAGCTGTTTCTAAAGAAAATGCAGAGTGTAGGTAGGGAGTGGGCAGGGGTTATAAGCCATGGAGTGCAGGGTGAGGTAGGGCGGACAGCGGCCCAAGGTACAGCCAAGCTCAGAGGGCAGGTTGGCTCTCCGTGTCGGGAAGGCTGTGAGAGCGTTGGACCCTGACTTAGTCACTGCCTCTCCCTCTCCCTGCCCCCCGCATACATGCACTTGAAGCTGCATGGAACAGCAGAGTCACTTTGATCAGAGAGCCAACATGAAGACATGGTATTTCCTGACAGTTACTCAATACGTGAGGATTTAAATTCCATGTCGCTGTAATGGCAGTGATGTCTGGGGGAGGGGGACAGAGGGGACATTTTTGGAATTGGAAAGCCTTTATCCTGAAGTAAATTTTGAAGGCTCTGTCAGTCAGGCTGGGTCAGTATAAAATCCCACATGGATGTTTGTGAAGGTTGCCCTCTCTGGAGCTGTGGTCCCCAGACCTCTTGATATAACTAACCAACCATTCCCTCTGCTTTGAAGTGAGAGCCTCTGCCGTAGGGCTGCTGCATCCTGGTCACCCCGTCGTTTTGCCATTGTCTGGGTTGTCTGTAGCCCTTGGCTCAGCTGACGTAGCAATCCCTGCTCCTTGGGAGGCCTTAGTGGGGCTCTGGGGCTCCCTGCTGTTTGTAGGCTTCAGGCAGTAAGAAGGATGAACCTTCCTCGTTTTAAAACCCTTTTCCTGTCATTTTAGAGGTAAAACCATGGTCTTTGGATGTGTCCTTCAGTTTCAGACAGCTAGGAAGTGCCCTTCGATCTCCTGTCCCCTCGTGGCTGGAGCTGCCCCCTTAGCGACTTTTCTAGCACAACACAGTCTTCCTCATCTTCTTCCATCTCGTCTGTGCCATCTTGCCACTCTCCCTGTTTTGTGTTTTAAGTGTTCATTCCTCTCATTCTTCTTGATCATCCTTCCTCAAGACCCTGCAGCTGCCTGGAGAACATGTGCTGGTTTTCTTTCTGGTTGTTTCTGAGTGGCCCAGGGAAAGATGGAGAAAGCACTTTGTTCCTAAGAGTTCCGTGGAATGGTGTGCCAGTGACAGCACCTGTGGTTTTCCTTTGAATCTGTCCAGCCCACCTCCCTCTGGTAGCAAGGGAGTGGGCAGTGAGCTGATGCTGACCCTGCTTCATTTAAAGCAGGATGTCCCTATCACAGAGAAGAGAAATGCCGTGGTGATGGGGCCTGTTATCTGCCTCCCTACAGAGGAACCACAGTGAGTTTCCTTTAAAAGCCAGTTTCCTGGCCAGGCACAGTGGCTCACACCTGTAATCTCAGCACTTTGGCAAGCCAAGGTGGGCGGGTCACCTGGTCGGGAGTTCAAGACCAGCCTGACCAACATGGTGAAACCCCGTCTCTACTAAAAATACAAAATTAGCTGGACACAGTGGCGCATGCCTATAATCCCAGCTGCTCAGGAGGCTGATGCAAGAGAATCACTTGAACCCAGGAGGCAGAGGTTGCGGTGAGCCAAGATCACCCCATTGCACTCCAGCCTGGGCAACAAGGGTGAAACTCCGTCTCAAAAAAAAAAAAAAAGTTAAATTATTCTTTGATTGACCAAAATTTGAATTAATAAACAGTTTCCCTAGATATCTCATATAAAGTGACATTCTAGAATTCTGGGTCTTCTAGGACCAGGTATTTGGGACAGTGGTTCTTATGGAATACAGTCTGTTTTTCCTCCCAACTTTTTTCTTTAGTATATTGTGATGGCTAAATTTCTTATCTTTTAGGGCACATTTCAGTAATAGGCTCTTTAAGTGCCAAAGTACTCGTTTTCAAGTTTGTAGTTATACATTATTCCATGAATAATGAGCTAGAATTTTATTCTTAACTTTTAATTTGGGGGTGTGGCTTTTTGGGGATTTTTTGTTTCTGGTACATACTACCATGACGGTTATAGTTTTGTGATTTCTCTTTTTAAGAAACACGTGGTTTTTGTTTTAAAAGAAAAAAGAAGTGTATGTGGTTTTTTTTTTTTTTAAACCATCCTTATAACTGCCTCAGTGTTGTGAAAATTGATTCCGTGCATGCTCTCTCAAGTGGTAAACCACAGGTTTTCTGCTAGTCATAATGCAAGATATTACCAGGCTGATTTTATAAAGTCACAAGGAAGATTTAGATTAACTTGCTACAAAGTTTTGGTAGTTTTTTATAAAAGTGTGAGTGACCAGGTTTTGGCCGTACCCTTTCTGTAAATTTTGCTTTTTTTCCTCTTCCCCCCAAATCAAATGATGCTTATTGTGTGTGAACTCTTGAGTTAGGAACCCAGAGAGGAAAATGTGAATCTGACCCTACCATGGCTTAAGGTTGGGCTTTGAAGATGATATATATGTTTAAAATAACGGAAAGGTGACCTCCCTCAAAGGACTGAGGTAGAGATGAGTCAGTGCAGTTGGAATTTTTTTTTTTTTAGGAGAATTGGAGTGCACCTGACCACTTTATAGAGAAAGGTAGGACTTGATGGAGCACAGTGCAAACAAAACAACAAAGAAAGAACATTTCAGACAGTGGGGATGGTGTCTGCACAGTACACAGCCTGTGAGGGCATGCATTTGACTGGACTGGGGTTCCTGTGCAAGCGAGGTGAACAGTGAGGTGGACTGTGGTGAGCTCCTGGAAGCCACAGGGACTCTGCCAAGACCTACCTGTGCTTGCTCTGTGGAGACCGCCTTTGGGGCCCCAGAACTCTGCTTTTTAGGCATTGTTTCCCATAGGCCAGCGCTGGTCTTATCTGATGGCACACTTCCTTGATCAGCACACAGTCTGCTCTCTAACTTCTGTTACTGATGTCTCTACTGAGAGAACCTTCCAGAATCACCTGTGGAGCTAATCTGACATTCTTTGAAATGGAGCCTAGACCATTGATTACCTTTTTGGCCTGTGTTGAGTTTTTGTTAGGTTTGTTTTGAGACAGAGTCTTGCTTTGTCACCCAGGCTGGAATGCAGTGGTGCAGCCACGTCTCACTGCTGCCTCAACCTCTCGGGCTCAAGCAGTCATCCCACTCCAGCCTCCTGAGTACCTGGGATCTGCCACCATGCCTGGCTAATTTGTGTGTGTGTGTGTGTGTGTGTGTGTGTGTGTTTCTTTCTTTTTTTTTTGTAGCGATGGCGTTTCACCATGTTGCCCAGGCTGGTCTTGAACTAATGAGATCACGCAATCTTCCCCCCTTGGTCTACCAAAGTTCTGGGATTAGAGGCTTGAGCCACTGCATCTGGCCTCATTCGATTTTGCTTTGAATTGTTTTTTAAAGATTCTGTAATCACTGATCTCGAGCTAACCATCCCTTATAGCAGTGTTCAATTTTTGTTGAATAATTAGGACTCTCCAAGATATATATCTTAATTCAGTCCTGCCATCTTACTTCCAATAAATTCCGGTGCACAGAGTGGAATGAGGATTGGGCTGTGGGACCTGTGACCAGGTTGTGGTCATGGTCTTGGAGCTCATGTTGCCTCACTGGTTCTTCCTGCTCAAAGTGTAGGCCCCAGGCAAACCATACAGGCGCTCGCAGGTTGCTTGTAAGCAATAAAGAAATTAGACCCCCATTTCAGGCCTCCTGTATTAAAACCTGCGTTTTTATAAAATTTCCGGGTGATTGGTGTGCACATTAAAATCTGAGATGCGCTGTTCTGGATGCCTCGAAAGGCCAGGTGTCTGGGCCAGAGCGGGTAACAGGGTTTGAGTCATTCTCTGAGGGAGACCATGGGTTTTCCAACCCAGAGTCCCACAGGGACTGTTGAAACAAGATTGCACTGTCAGCCCCAGAGCAAGCCTATTCCACGCACTGCCCTGGGTGCTTCAGCCATGGCCCCAACTGCTGCCGGGTATCTCCATGAGTGCAGTGCCCACTACTGTACCCGGCAACGTGTTCCATCTATAGGTGCCACAGATTGTTTTGAACACCTCCTTTCAACCGGATGCAATGGCTCATGTCTGTAAGCCTAACACTTTGGGAGGCCAAGGTGGGCAGATTGCCTGAGCTCAGGTTCAAGACCAGCCTGGGCAACACAGTGAAACCCCTTCTCTACTAAAGTACAAATAATTAGCTGGGCATGGCGATGGGCACCTGTAGTCCCTGCTCCTCGGGAGGCTGAAGCAGTAGAATTGGTTGAACCCAGGAGGCAGAGGTTGCAGTGAGCTGAGATCTTGCCACTGCACTCCAGCCTGGGCGACAGAGCAAGACTCCTTCTCAAAAACAAAAAATAAAACAAAACAAAACAACACCTCCTTTCATTAAATGGAGTCAAGATCTCCCTCCTTTGAACTGCCACTCATTTAATAGCCCATCAGGTGCCCTGTGAGTGTGTGTGGAGCAGCCCCTTTGTTCTACTTGAGGACCCTTCAGAGATTTTCACCGTTGTGACAAATTGATGAGATGGGGAACAGTAGGGAGCAGAATCTGAAGGCTGTAGAGAGAATGGCGGGCTTGATTGACCCAGACTTAAGCACCAAAGGGTCGTTGGTGATGTGTTTCATCTGAACAGCTTTGCTCCTTGCTAGTAAGGAGCAGTGTCGCTGAGCCAGTGTCACTTGACTCCTGAAGAAAACATTTTGCTTGAGGGCTTGTGGCTGCATCTGATGGGAGGCTGGGTTGCCAGCCTGGCAGTGCCTCGGTCCCCCTCAATGCTTCTCTTCATTGTCGTGCCCCACCCTGTGCATAGGAAGGTGCCAGCTGGGAAGTGGGTCCTGATTCACACAATACCCATGAGGTATGGTTGAACCACCAGCAACTTTATAGAGATGGCTGCAGGTCTGAGTAAATTCTTTTTTTGAGACATAGTGTTACTCTCTTGCCCAGGCTGGAGTGCAGTGGCGTGATCTTCACTCACTGCAACCTCTGCCTCCCTAGTTCAAGTGATTCCTGCTTCAACCTTCCGAATAGCTGGGATTACAGGCACACGCCACCATGCCTGGCTCATTTTTGTATTTTTAGTAGAGAGGGTTTCCCCATGATTGCCAGGCTGGTCTGGAACTCCTTACCTCAGGTGATTCTTCCACCTCTGCTTCCCAAAGTCCTGGGATTACAGGTATGAGCCACCTGAATAAATTCTAGCATTGCTTTTTTAAGTAGAAATCTAAATGTCTCTTGATATCCTCAGGAAGCTGGTTCCAGGACCCGCCAAGTATACCGAAACCAGGCGGACTCAAGCCCTGCAGCTGGCCCTCCCCATACACGTTTCGCCTCCCACTAGCAGTTTCTGGCCTGCCTTGGGTAACATGCGGCTGGCTCACTCTCATGCTGCTGTAGATTCAGCTCTAGCAGCTACTGCTTTGCTTCATGGTGTGTCTCCCCCCACCATCCTGAAAAAGCTTACGCATTTAATTCGTGTTCATTTTCACTGAATTTCCAGATGGAGTTCAGTTTTATTGAGAATGATTGAGGACTGAAGTTGTCGGGGTAACCGAGTACTTTGCATCAGCATCATAGACTGTACGGGGAACCTCTTCACCTCTTAGTGGAGCATTATTTATTTATTTTATTTATTTTTATCTATTTTTTTATTTTTTGAGACAGTCTTTCTGTCACCCAGGCTGGAGTGGAATGGCGCAATCTCAGCGCACTGCAACCTCTGCCTCCTGGGTGCAAGTGATTCTCCTGCCTCAACCTCCAAAGTAGCTGGGATTACAGGTGCTTACTACCACGCCCAGCTAATTTTTGTATTTTTGATAGAGATGGGGTTTCACCAAGTTAGCTAGGTGGGTCTCGAACTTCTGACTTCAATTGATCCACCTGCCTTGGCCTCCCAAAGTGCTGGGATTATCGGCGTGAGTCACTGCGCCTGGCCTCTTAGTGGAACATTCTTTGTGCATGAAGAATGGCAGGTGAGTTCCAGAAACAGTGTCTAATTTAAAACTTGGCCTTTTGTTCATAGGTCATAGGCTTCTTCTTCAGCTTATATCAGAAGGGGTGGTGAGGCTGGGGGATGTTGGGATGCTTTAAAG